CTATTGCTTCCTTCTCATAGTCCCCCCCTTTCTAGTTTCATGTCCCACATATCTATGTATGTGTATATAGGTTTATACATAAATTTAAGTCTAGAGTCTGCATATGAGAAAACATGTAAAAATCTGACTTTCTGAGTCTGGCTTATTTCACTCCTTTAGAGAAAAATAGAATTCATTACACACACACACACACACACACACACACAAACACACACACATTTAAAAGATAAACTGAGAAAGAATAAAGCTGTTTTGTTCACAGATGACATGATCATCTACAAATCTGAAAAAAAATAAAAAATTCTCTCGAAGCTAATAGGTGATCACAGTAAGGTTGCCAGACACAAGGCCAACCGACCTACACAAGCCAGCTGCTTTTCTATATAGGAGCAAAGATCATGTTCAATTTCAAATGAAAAACACACGACCATTTGCATTGGTACCTCTCCAAATGAAATGCTGAGCTATTAACAATCTATCTATAAGCACTATATAAAGAAAGCTACAAAACTCTGATGAGATCAAAAAACTGAACAGTCCACGTTCACAGAAAAACTTTGTGTTCTTATGGTCACAGTTTTCCACAACTTGACCTTTAGATTCAATACAACCACAAAAATCTACTGAATCATTTTATAGATTAATAAACTGATTCTCAAGTTTCCATGGAGAAGCAGAAGACTGGGAATAGTCAAATCACTATTAAAGACCAAATTTGGAGGTCTGAGTCTGACTGTAAGACTTAGTCTAAAGCTGCGGTCATCAAGACAGGTTGACAGGCAAAAGCACAGACGTACGGAACAGACTCACATAAACAGCCTGCTCATCTTTGACAAAGAAGTAAAGGAAGGCACTGGCATGCAGAGTCTTTTCAACACAATCATTCAAAAACAAACCCAGACACAGACCTCACAACTCTCACAAGAGTTGAACAGCAAGGACAGACCTAACCATAAAATTAAAAACTATAAACTAGAACAGCAGTTCTCAACCTGTGGGTCTCGACCCCTTGGGGGGGGGTCACATATTAGATATTTACGTTATAATTCATAACAGTAGCAAAATTACAGTTATGGAGCAGCAATGAAACAATTTTATGGCTGGGGGTCACCACATCATGAGGAACTGTATTAAAAAGGGTCTCAGCATTAGGAAGGTGGAGAAGCACTGACCTGGAAGATAACCTAGGAACATTCGGGAGCACTTGGGTGACATACTGGTTAACGCCAATTGAGAACTTGACAGAATCTAAAGTCACCTCAGAGAAGGGCCTCTGGGCATCTCTGTGGGGAGTTATCTTGGCTATCCCGCTTGCGAGAGCTGAGGTGGGAAGACCTGCCCACTGTCGATGGCACCATGTGTAGATGGACTGTATGTGTTCTCTACATGCATTCACGGCTCTCGGTCCAAATTCTGGGTGTGGTGTGATCAGTGGCTTCGAGTTCCTGCCACCCTGACCTCTGCACCATGATGGACTACCACAGCAACAGAAAAATAAACAGGGACAGCAACGGCTTCTCAGAAATAACCAAAAGACGATCCAGTGAAAGAGAACTAACTGATGAGGCTCCCTTCGTTAACATGGAAAAAAAAAAAAAGGAACGAAAATACATTCGCTCTCCTAAAGACTATGCCATGAGAATGGAAAGAGAAACCACAGGTTGAATGCAAAAGAAACTTCCGATAAAGACCTATTATCAAAAAGAAAAAAAAAAACTCTTAAAATTCGACACTTACCTAGGGGTCCAATGCACTGGATTTGGTCCTCAAGTACTTAAAACCTTTCAGCAATAAGAAAACAACCAAGCTGATGTACTGCATACCTACTAGAATGTCCCCAGTCCACAACCACAACACTGCCAAAGGCTGATGAGGACGCAGGGCAACAGGAGCTGATGAAGGACATGCAAAGTGGCTTAGACCCTTGTGAAAACACTTCCTAACTTCTCACAAAATGAAATGCAGTCTTACCACACAATCCAGTAACTGTGCTCTCTGGTGTCTACTCAGATGAACTGAGAACTTATGTGTGGACGTAAATGTGTGTATGGATGTCTGTACAGCTTGCCCATAATTGCTAAACCCTGAAAGCAACCAGAATGTCCTTTAGTAGGTGATAAATATCCAGTGCATATTACTAAATGAAATAAACCATTTTGAAAGGTTACATATTATAGCAATCTCAACGAGTGGGCGTTCTGGACAAGGCAAACTGCTAAGACAGTATAAACACTAGTGGTTTTGAGGGTGTGAGCTGAGGGAGGATGAACACACAGAACCAAGTACTTCCAGGGCACGCAACTAGTGTGTAGAATATTACAATGGTGAATACAGGCTATAGATTCTTCAAAGCCCATAGGAAATGCAGCACAAAGAGCGAACCCTAACCTGTCTTTTTTACGAATACTACAACTTTTGGTGGTGGCATTTAAAGAATTAAAAAAGCTCAGTATACCCATAAACCATAATGTAATAAAATAATGTCCCAGGGGTTTCCAGGAGCACCCCTAACTATGCCGCTTCACACTGAGCAACAGTCCAGGGTTCCCTCAAAAACCTGGAAGCTGGTTAAATGACATTATCTTCCCGCTTAGAGCAAACATGTCACACGTGCTAATGTAGCTGCTTCCCTGGTCCCAGCGGCCCTGCCTGCCCCGCTATGCAGAGGAAGTGGTCTGCACATTCCTGAAGGGAGGGAGGTGAAGCCTAGTGATTGAGGCTGTGTCCTACTAGCTAACACTTACCGTCTTGGAACAGAAGTCAGACCGCCATTGAGGATCTATGGAAATGGACACTCAAGAGACGGTTTTGCTTACAGAAGAACACACAGCACCAAACACTGAAATTGGGACCTAACAAGGCTAAGGATGAGGGCGCCAAAGAGAGAAATGGGAAGAGGGAGCCTTAATTGAGAAAATGCCCCTACCAGACTGGCCTGTGGGCAAGCCTGTGGGGCATTTTCTTAATTAATGACTAATATGGGAGGGCCCAGCCCATGAAAAGCAGTCTGAACAAGCCGTGGGGGACAAATCGGTAAGCAGCACTCCTCCATGGCCTCGGCATCAGTTCCTGCCTCCAGGTTCCTGCCTCGAGTTGCTGCCCGACTTTCCTGGATCATGGACTATAAAAGCTATAAGCTGAAATAAACCCTTTCCTCCCCATGCTGCTTTTGGTTATGGTGTTTTATCACAGCATTAGACACCCTAACCAAGTCCCCAGGAGAAGGGCACCTGCTTTGGTTTCTGGGATGAAACAGCTCACGGGCGTGACGGGTTAGGGAATGCCTCGTTCAGCAATGTTAGCCCGAACACTCGCCCGCACTGGCCAAAGAGGCCTGTATGTCATCAGCACTCTGCCTTCCAGCTCATGTTTCACAAGAGCAGAGAGCTGTGTTTCTAGTCCCACAACGAGGATCATCTAGAAACACCAAGTTCATCCAACCACGACATCTTAGAGAAACGAAAACCTACCCCTAACTAGTACCCAAACTGAAATGCTTCCAGACACCATTTTTAAAAAGGAAAGGAAGAAGTTTGTGAAGGAAGTTCCTCCTCCCATGACTTCCAAGCATCACCAAACATCTGGGAGGGACATAACAGGTATTAACTTCAGCTGACAGATGAGGAAACAGAGGGACAGAGAGGCCATTACGATGTCAGGTAGAAAGCCAAGTCTAGTCAGAAAGCACTCAAAGTGGGGGCCTCAGAGAGAGCTCTAGTCCAGCCTCACTGGGCACGAGTTGCCTTCTGAAAGCGGGAGAAGGTTGGGCCTTCCACTTGACCACGGTGAGGCAGGTGAGGACAGGACTCACTCCTCTGCGATGTCCAACGCGGACGTACAACTACGCACATCTAAATTCTAAATTGATCGAGTGAACGGGAGCAACACAGTCAATGTCTTAGCAACACTGGGCATATTTCCACTGCTCAAGAAACACGTGTGACAGGTGGCTCCCACCACGCTAGGCAGAATGGATGGTTCAGGACCGGAGGGTGCCCTTCCATGCAGATGCTGCAGCTTGTACCCTGTGGTACAGGGCTGTCACTGCTGGCACCTGCAGCAGGACTAGGAGTCCAGCAACTGCTTCCAAGCAGGTCTGTGGACACAGGCAAAACCGAGCCTCCATTCACTCTCTTTAAAAAAGTCCTTCTGCAGCAACATCCTAGGATTCTGCTCACAGCCTGAGATGGCAGACTGTTGAAACTACCTATCCTTCTACCCGTATTGGGCCCTTTATCAAATTGGACCAAGGGTCATTAGGTGTTTACTACTTCCTGGGGCATCAGTCACTAAATCCACATTAAATAACATGCTTTAATTATTCCAAGGGTTAACATCTGAAACGGTCATAAAAAGACTACTCACCAGAAAAGCCAGCTGGAAATAGAGAAGAGTCTCACCCCAATGTCCTTCCCATATGAACCTATGAGGGAAAGGTTGCAATTTAGGGCCAGAACAAACAAACAAAAAAAACCAAAAACCAAAAAACAAAACACACACACACACACACACACACACACACACACACACATACACACACACACCCCATCTTGTTTCTCCAGAAGAGTGAGTTTCCTTCTGTCACAGAATGGAAATGACATGGCTATCAGATATAAATATGAATTAATGCCTAAGCATTGGACGCCCCTTTTCCACAGAAACTGTAACCATCTTTTTTTTTTTCCCTCGAGCACAGAGCTGTGACCTCTTTCCTCCTGGCCTTTTATCTCCACCCATGGAAAACATCTTAAGCAGACAGAGGCTGTATCTACCACCTCTTGGAAGATTAATGTAGGAGTGTGGTGTTCTGAATGAAAATGGCTCCCATAGGCTCATATGTTTGAACGCTTGGTTGCCAGTTAGTGGAACAGTTTGGAAAGGGTTAGATGGTGTGGCCTTTGTTGGAGGAGATGTGTCAGCCTTTGAGGTTCAAACACCCCACATCCTAGGTGTTAACTTCAGCTGACCTGAGCAGAAACAGATTGTTTTGATGACAAGTATAAAGCCATGTAATTTCAGGAGCCAGGAGAGATAATGGGGGGAAGGGAAGATGCTAAAGTTGTAGCTCCTCTTTCTACCTGCTGCCTATGGATCAGGATGTAAAGACCTCGGCTACTGCTCCAGCGCCATGCTGTCTGCTTCCCACCATGATGATCACGGACTAACCCCCTGAAAATGTGAGCAAGCCCCCAATTAAAAGTTTTCTTCTGTAAGTTGCCCTGGTCATGATATTTCTTTGCAGCAATAGAATAGTAATTAAGCCAAGAGTATGTTTTAAGAGGTAAGTAGTGGCTTGTGCCTATAATCCCAGGATTTGAGCAGCTGAAGCAGGAGAGTTGCTGTGAGTTTGAGGTTAGCCTGGCTTCTATAGTGAGTTCCAGGACAGTATGGGTTAAAGTGGTTTGGTGATCTTCTCACTATACTATACTGAGGAAATCCAAAATCAGAGTTCAGTGCCAATGAAAACACAAACCTCAAATCACTGGGCTAAAGGGAATTATTTATCCTGGGAGAATTCAAGGAAGGCTGGACTGTGGCAATTTTAGCATCTTCCTTTCCCCCCATTGTCTCTACTGGCTCCTGCAATTACATTAATTAAGCTTTAGTTAATTAAAATGGCAATAGGAAGTGCCAAGTACAGTCATAAGCACATTGGTAATTGACTCACACCTCACGGTAAGTCGTTTCTATTTTGCAGTAAAAGACACCTAAGTATGGACAGGTTAAGTAACTTCTTCAAGGTCACACAGGTAGAAAGTAGAAGGACTGAGATTTAAGTCCTGTCAGGCTTCTATGTTGCCAGTATGCAAGCCCCTGTTTAATACTGACAATGGACAGTTAAAGGATCATCAAAAGACATTTCAGGGACGTGCAGCCAAGGAGAAAAAAAGAACTGGGCTTTCTTAGCAAACAGTTTCCAGACATGTCCCTAACACTCTTCCAGATTGCCAGCTTTGACTCTTTTCTGTCCAGAAGTTCCAGGGAATGCCAATCTTTTAATTTTGCCTCTTTCCCCAACATTTACTCTTAAACTCCCTTGGCACTGTTTTCTGGTAAAATAACCAAAAAAACAAAAACAAAACAAAACAAAAAAACCCCAAAGACATTATCCACCAGCAAAACTGCAATTACAGCTGGGTTCCTAGCAAGGGCACCTTACAGTAAACAGAGACTGAGTGGGTCCTGGTAACTCCAGTCCTTCAAGTTGCTATAAACCGGTTACCATGTGACTGCACGACACTGGGCTCTCAGGGACGCGAGGCCTGCCAGGAACGGTTCTACTTTCTCTTCCTTGGACTCTGTGCTGTAGATGTTGACTCTGCTGAGCCCCGGGCTTTAGAATGCTTGAAAATACTTTTTGTGTTTTATAAATAATCTTGTGCCCAGTAAAAGACAGTCTTCCTAAGGTACAAAAGCTAAAACACACATCGACAACACAAAAAGCCTGAGGTGGTGTGCTCCCATGAACGCTGTGTCATCCTTTGGGCAAGTCACGATACCACTCTTAGGGGTACTTTCCTCTTTGGTAAAATCTGCTGCACTTTCTTTAGAAGGTGGCAATAGCTGGTCAAGAGTAGGCACATGGATGAGTATGGTGACTCATTCCTGGAATCCTTGAATTGGAGAGGCCAAGGCAAGAAAATCAATAGTTAAAGTCCAGCCTGGACTACAAAGTCAGTTCCAGGCCAGCCTGGGCTACAGACACAAAGTTGTAAAAAACCAGGATGGAAGAAAGGGAGAGAGGGAGGAAGGGAGGGAGGGAAAAATAAAATAAATGACACACCTTCTCATAATCAACTGTTATAAAAAAATTTCAAAACCAAGTTGTATCCTTGAGATTTCATTTTTAATTTTTAACAGGTTTGTGATCATAAAATTTCCAAAGGAATACCTGCTTTCAGGTTCTTCCGAAACTTTCTTGTTCTCCAGAGAACAACACATATGGATCAGAAACACAAGACAAGAAAAAAAAAAAAAAAAAACCTTTGTTTCAAAAAAATAAGAAGACAAAATAAGCCTGCCTGGTCCTGAACCTGCGACTGCAGACTTCATGTGAACACAAATGCTCCAAGCCCCCTTCCTCACAGCCACGGGTAAATATGTTGGGCATAAAATTCTTGTTGCGCATGAAAGCCATTTCTAGTAAAAACTAGAGGTCCACATGACCCTCAACGAACAGTTTGCTCCCAGGCTCCACGTCACAACAAGGTGGTCGATAGTAACAATGTCCCAGAATTCCAAGATCCTGAGGTTTCCGTAAAGCACTTCCTAGGTCGACCTGGCCTTGGAGCCTCAGCCAACAGCACTCTGTACCCTGTACCTGTGGGCCTCACCTGAGCTGAGCTGTGGTGTTATTGTGTAGAAAAGGGAACAGAGAGAGACATTCTTCCTGAGGGCACTCTGTTTTGTATTTATACAGCAGGATGCAGCAACAATTTAAATATGGAAGTTTCTGGTTGGACCCCAACCCTTTTAAAGGGTGGATTACACAAGTCCCAGTAAGTTTCAAGGAAGAGGCTTGCAAGGAACATGGACCTGAGCTGAAAGGCTCCTCTTTGGCCTCATACACAGATGAAGAAAACAAAACGTCATCTGACGACTCATGAGCAGCCAGAGGCTGAGTCTTTCCTGTCTCTGATCCCTGATGCAGAGACTCCACACGGCCTCCCTACAAGGTTCTCACACTGTTCCTTGCTTGAGCTTCCCAGGGACACTGCCTTTGGATCACACCCAGAAGGGTTGACTCCACAGGTCTGGGTGTGGTTGGGTGTTGTGATTTTTCAGTCCCTCTCAGCGGATGCTAGCACACAGACAAGTGTGTGACCCATACCCTGGGAACATCTGCTTCAGAAAAGCTGTTGGACCCTACTCCCTCTGAACATTGTTTTCTTTCTAACAAAACAACACTTTGAAAAGAACAGCAAGTCAAAGAACTCTTAGCTTTACTGCAGTGAAGGGCAGCTTTCTCTGTGTGCAGCCTTCCCTCCGCCTGCCCACACAATAAAGATTACAACACAGAGTGAGTAAGCCCGGAACATGCTTCCCAGCAGAAGGTAAAAAGGAACGCTCTGAACGGGTAGGAAGTAGTCTGTGACAGACTCCACTGCCCTTTGGACTTCTTACCGTGGCGTTCCCATCCCCAGAGCTCCATCTGGCTCCTCCTCCTCGACACTAGTTAGTTACAGATCACTCACTCTCAGGGACCACGCCTCCTCTCCCTTCCTCCCCTCTCTGGCGGCTGCAGCTGGCCACCCTTCCCAGCCTCTCCCTAGGTTTCCAGGTGGACCTTCACACCCATAAATACCTTCAGGGCAGCAGGCAGGGCGCTGGGTGGGGAGAGGGTGTTTCCTAAGGCTCTCCCTTAGGCCAAGCTCTTGCCCATTCAGCCATTCCAGGCAAGGTAAAGCCAGGTGACAAAGCGGGACTGAGCCTGCCCCCATCCTCTGCAAAGCTCCTACTTCTGGGGGTTGACTTGATAAGACAACACAAAGCCAGGAAAACAAGAGGAATGTTTTTTTTTTTTGTTTTGTTTTGTTTTTCCAACTTATAAACTGTATGGCTGTGGCAGGCTTCTTGCTAACTGTTCCTTTTCTTAAATTAACCCATTTCTATTAATCTATAAGTTGCCTCGTGGCTCTCAGCTTACCGGTATCTTAACATCTTCTCATGGCGGTGGCTGGCAGCTCTCTCTGCCTCAGCCTGAGGAATGGGGTTCTAATCCTCTCTCTGCCATTTACCTGCTAGCTTTATGACTTTGGGCAAATAGCAGAAGCTATCTAGAAGTGCCTCAGTTTCCCTATCTGTAAGGTTAATGTTTTGGCCCAATTCTTCCCAAAACTTTTATCAAATTCTCAGTTATATTAATTTAATTAAATACAAATTCTCTAGACACAGAGACTTCTTTATACTATAATATCATAATTTATACTTTATATTCTATAGATTTATATTCTAGAAACACAGCCTGTCACTAGCAATGTAAAGATGAATAAAAAAAAAAACACCACTGAATTCAAGAGAAAAAGATGTATCGAGAAGAAAGACAGAAATATAGGCAAAACTACCTAGCCCAAGGTAATCATTAGCATACTGGTTGACTAGCTTGCTACAGTAAACACAGACAAGAAAAAAAAAATATTAATGTGACCAGAGATGACGTAAAACAGAGCAAAGTCATGCTCAGTAATTTACAAATTCTGACGGCAGGCACTTTTACACACACACACACACACACACACACACACACACACACACACGCACACGCAAGCACGCGCGCCTCAGGACAATCTTGAGAGGAGCAGATGCTGCTAGCCTCAGGTCACAAATGAAAGGTCTCAGGGTTAGGGAGGCTAGAGTGTTACAGCAAGGCTTCCGCCATGGCTTGACACTAAGACATGCACGTCCATCTTCTGTCACGCTGCC